ACCTTGATACGATCCTAGAAGAAGCTCTACCAATTCCCTACACAACCGAGAAGATGGCTTCCACCTCCAGCTCGTTCCACATGGAAGACTCCCTACCAACTGACAAACCTCCATACTTCAATGGAGTCAACTATCATCATTGGAAGAAATTAATGAAGGTATTCATCCAATCCAATGATCTTGATGTATGGGAGATAATCGAGAATGGCTACTCTTCTCCAAAGAAGAAGGAGAAGAAGCGGAGTGACAAAGAACAGAAGAAAGCTCAACTTAATGCCAAGGCCATGCACATGTTGTTTTGTGCATTTGGTCCTGAAATCTATGAAGGGGTTTCTTCATGTTCAAGTGCCAAGGAGCTTTGGAATAAGCTCGAGGAAATTCATGGAAACAAGAAAGAAGAACCAACAAAGGTGGTGTCTCTAATGGCTTATGAAGAGCCCGAGGTATCTTCTAACTCAAAGGAATTTAATTCATATACGTTTGATGAGTTACAAGATGCTTTTAATAGGTTATATTCGGAGTTTGAGACCATAAACTCCAAATATAAGAAAATGATTTCAAAATTTAAAATTGAAAACGATTTCCTTTTGAAAACAAAAATAGATTTTGAAAGCCAAAATGAAATTTTGAAAAAGGATTTTGAGCTTTCAAAAATAAAAATTGATAGTTTTGAAAAACAAAATTTTGATTTAAAAGTTAAGCTTGAATGGTTAACAAAAGAAAAAGAAATCATTTTAAATAATTCATTTAGTTCAATAATTACAATATGCTCACATTGTCATTATCATGGTCATTTGGAACATACTTGTCCTTTGAAGAAAGGAAAACATTTTAAAATTAGGCAAGTATGGGTTCCGAAATGAACAAGGGGCATTGAAACTAACGTCCAAGGATCCAAAGCAATTTGTATACCAAAATCTACTTAAATGTCTCTTGTAGGTGTGTGGGAGCAATGATGATGAGAAAGATGATATTCAAGATGCTCTAGCCACACATGAAAAAGGAATGTGTAACCTCTAAGCTTAATGCTTTTAATTTTGGTTATTTGGTTGCTCATTTGATTTTAAGCATGCATGAGTTTTGTTTTTAAATGATTATGCATCATTGTTTTAATCTTATGTATGTTGAAAAGATGATTATGAACATTTTAAAGTTATATTAATTTTTAAGAATTTTTAGTTCATCATAATAAAATTTTGGTCAAATTGGTTTTAATGCAATTGATATCTCTAACAATTGATATCAATTTTTCAAATACTTTGATTTTATAAATTTTAAAATTTTTGACATAAATTTGAATGTTTATGCATGTGGTTTAAATGAAAATGATATCTCTCTAACAATTGATATCAAAATTTTCAAATGCATGACATTTTTGGAAAACTTTATGCATATGCACTTAATTTTAACAATTGGTATTGATATCAAATTTCAACAATTGGTATTGCATAAAGTATTTTAGTCTTGGATATATTGAATTTCATGTGCTACTAACATGTTTGTTATTCTTTGTTGAAATTCAATTTTGTTTAAGTGTCTTGTTCTTAAAGCTAAATTTTATTTGGAATGCATTTATTGAGGGGGAGTTTTTGATTTTTCAAATAAATTTTTAAATGTCAAATTTACCACTTACTCTCCAATGTTATTTTAGAACTTTAAAAGATTGAATTATTTTTGATATAACAAAAGGGGAGAAGTTTGGTTGTTTTAAAAAAATTCAATTTCTTAATGAAAAAGGGGAGCTTAACATTTTCATATATTTTCAACAATTGATATCTTTTTCATTAAACATTTTATTAAGGGGGAGTTTTGCCAAAAACAATTTTTTAAATGTTTTGTTATATCAAAAAGGGGAGATTGTTGAAATATGTTTCGATATAACAAATTTAAAGGCAAAATTTTTTTGGACTTGAATTGAATTTATTCAAAGTTTTCAAAAGGTTTCAAAAATAATTCAAGTTCATTAAAATCGGATTTGAGCAAGAAAAACCAGATTGCCCAGAGGGAACAGATTCCCCCCAGGGGGTATCGATTCCCCAAGAACAGATTCCCCCAGGGGTATCTATTCCCCGGGTACATATTACCCCTGCATGGTTTGGCTCCGAGAAATAACAGATTACTCGGAGGGAACCGATTCCCCCTTGAGGGTACCGATTCCCTCACTGTTCATCAGCCCAACGGTCATAATATTTGAATATTATGAGGGGTATCGATTCCCTATGAAGGGGTACCGATTCCCTCCATTCTGGGTAGCCTATTTTTGCAGAAAAATCATTCCCAAACGGCTCCAAAACATCCCCAACGGCTAGATATGACTTTAAACACATTTCAAGCTAGAAATACAAGCTAAGGACACTTGAAGAAGGAACAGAACAACTATCCAAGTAATCAAACACAAGAGAAGAGTTTTTCATTCTTATTTCATCTTTCTCTTGTATATATTTTGTTCTTGTGAGCTCAATCTTGTAAACACCTACCTCAGAGAGGTTTTCTTGTTTACTTATTTTATCCTTTTGTAAAGGGGAAAGGTTCTAGCTAATCCCGTGTAAAAGCTAGGGAAAGGTTCTAATTTAGCCCGGAAAAACTAGGGAGTTGTAAGGTTATATCTTTGTCCTCAAAAGAAAGAACAAATTAGTGAATTTGTTGGAAAATCCTTGGTGAGGAGCTAAGGTAGTGGATGTAGACTTTGGTTGAGAAAGTCGAACCACTCTAAATCGCTGTGCAATTTTCTATCTTTCAATCTCCTTACTCCCCAAACACAAAACCGTTCCGACCCCTCTTTGCAAACCGTTCCGGTTGTCGATTCGAGCTTTCGAAAATCCCAACAAAGTTTAAAGCATTACTAACAAAGTGCTATGTCTCTATGAAGAGGTAGAACAAAGAAAAGTAATGTGGAGTGGTTTCATTGAGGTTGCATCTCGTTTCTCAATTTTGCTTGAGAGGTTATGTAGGGATTCAATAGTGTGTATCAATTGTAGGATTATAATAGCTACTTGTACGCTGATATGTTAAATAAATACGATCATGTGATAATGATTTAGTTCTGGTAGGTTATATGGGTCTGTTACAGGTTGGTCAACGAGTCACAACTTCTCTAGATTAAAATATTCAAGATCATTTCTTCAAAGACATTTCATTTATTTCTTTTGAATGCTCTTAATCACCATAGATTCAAAAATACTTTAGAGTTCTGGTTGCTAAGAACAATAAAATTATGTCAAAAATATCATTGACGAAATACAACAATATATAATTAATAATTTAAATTACTAAACTCAAAATCTAATTAATTAACAAATCATCCAACTAATACCCAATTCACTTAATCTATATTTAATTTATCCAAATTAAATGAATTTGATTAATTAAATAACCAGGCTGAACTTTAAAAGTTTAAAGTATTTGATCTAATCACAAAATTAATAATATAATTTATGAGTTTATATAAATTTAAAAAATATTTTTTATTATACAAATCAAGTGACTTTAGTAATTAAAGAGATAATTGTTATTTTGAAGGTCTCGAATTCAACCATAATATATGTAAGGGTGTTTGAAAAAATATTTTTTTTTATTGTTGAAATAATTTTATTTATTAAAAAAGAACCGAACAAAAACCAACACAGTTTCAATCCTCGTGTAAAATTTTTTAACATATATTTTATAAAAATATAAAATATTTTTATAAAAAAAAGGGGACAATGGGACATACACACAAAATATTGGGTGTTATTTAGTGGAAGAGAATGATTGGGCCGTAGCTTTCATAAATCTACAGTACGTAGTAGGACTCACCTTCTTCCCAGTTTTAAAACTTCTCAAACATCGGCGGCGCGCCTGTTTGCGCTACCAATTCAATCCATTCCTCTACTTCTTTCTCCACGGGAAATACAGTGTGGCCTATTTCAGATTCAATTTTTTAAATAAATTATTAAATAGATTTTTATTATTTATGATTTTATATATAGAATCCATGGGTTGGGTTTGATCGAATGATATAATTAAATTCTTTTAATAATATATAACTTAATCTAGTCATATTTAATATGTATAATATTAGTTTTTTAATTAAAATAAATCATGGAGTATGTCTAATGAGTAATGATAGAATAATGTTTTAAATTTTAATTGTATTTGTAAATCGAAGAATATCAAAAATAAAAAATCAAAATGAATAAGTAAAAACTTAATATTTATAAACAAGTTGGTTTAAAATTAGAAAAGATGAAAATGAAGAGTAATTGAATTAAGTTATTTAAACTATTATCTTTCATGAATAATTAAATTAAATTAAAATCCACATAAATTTAAAACTGTTGTGATGATTGAGTATATGTTTTATTTAGAATTAAATGAATATGAATATTTATCGTTTGGTGTAGGATTGTAAATGAGATGAAGCAGATCATGAGTTATATGAGTTCGATTTGGTCAAAGTTCGATTGAGTTCTTAACGAGTCAAAATAATTTACTTAATGTCTGACTCGAAAAGCTTTCTAGTAAATAAAAAATAATATTATTTTTTAACTTTTAAAATTAACTTATTGACAATATTAACGTTTATATATTGTTTTTTTAAAATACAATATAAATATTTTATGTACTTAAGGTTCATATTTGAATTCGAATTCGAGTTTGAACCGTATTCGAGTTTAAGCTTAAATTAAACCAAGTCTAGGGATGTTTTGAATTTAAATTTTTTCAAATTTAAATCGAGTTTAATATTTGATTTCAAGTAGTGTTTGAAAATTTTAAATATGTGAGCTTTCGAGTATTGTGGAACTTAATTTTTGAATGAGGAATAATTAGGGAGACATCCGGTGAGTATTGGATTAAAGAGTGCATATGGTGGATGAGACCCACGCAGGAAAGAAATCTCTCAAATGTCATTGTGGATAAGGACCATAAACTAAAACCGCGGGGACGATTAATTGAAAGGTTCATAGATGAGTCACCACACGTATTCTTCTGCTCAGCCAGCCAACTTCTCTCTCGGAAAGTCAGACATCACTCATTGTCTCTTTGTTCGGTAGCAAAAACCAGACACAAGCAAAGCAAAAACACATGAACTCATCCCCCAATCCTCCACAACCGCCTCCTCTTCTTCCTCCGCCTCAGTCCTCCACGTCCACCACCGCTGATGGATCCGGCAAGAAAATTAGGAAACCTTACACCATTACCAAGTCACGTGAGAGCTGGACTGAAGAAGAACACGACAAGTTCCTTGAAGCTCTTCAACTGTATGTTTTTTCTCCAAAGATGAAAACTTTTTTTCTTTAATAAAAACCCTGAATTACAAGTGTCCAATACTTTGATTTCTCCTTGGTTTTAGGGAATTTGCCTTTCTTTATGTTGGTTCTTAGTTCCAATGCTTCTGTTTTTGCTAGTAGAGAACTAAGAAAATCTTGATCGACTTTTCCTTGTTTCAACTGTGAAGTGGAAGTTTTGTTCGGAGAAATTGATGATGTAAACTTGGTCTTCAATTCAAGTTGTTTTGGAGCTCAATTTTGGTACAAGACTTTAACTAATCATAATTTTTTAACCTTCCTTGTCAGCTTTGTTGTGTTGAACGTCGTACGAGTATGCCAATGACAATACATTTACTTCCCTTTTTTTTGCCCCCTTCGTGTTTATTAGCAATATGAGCTATAAGGAATAATATTGTTCTATGATAGACAAAAAACATTCATGTTAGCCTGTTAAATAGTTTTCTATCTTTCTTGCTGACTTAGGTTTGATCGCGACTGGAAAAAAATTGAAGATTTTGTCGGTTCAAAGACAGTTATCCAGGTTTAACGATAAGGATTTGATGTTTTGTCATTGATCTAAGCTTTTCAATCTTTAGTTTCAGTTTGCATATTTTGTTTCAAATGGATATTTGCTGTCTTTACAGATTCGAAGTCATGCCCAGAAATACTTTTTGAAGGTTCAAAAGAATGGGACAATTGCACATGTGCCGCCTCCTCGTCCCAAGCGCAAAGCTGCTCACCCTTACCCTCAAAAGGCCTCTAAAAATGGTTTGATTTTAGAACTGGATTGTGATGATATTTTTGAATGAATTCTTGGGGGATAATTACATTTTGACATGCTCGTATAATACCAGTTTTATTGCCATTACAAGCATCCATGGGTTTTCCTTCTCCAATAAATGCCATTCCACCTGGATATGGTCCCTGGGATGAAGCTTCCACGCTAGTAAACACTGCCTCAAGCAAAATCATGCCACCCCAAGATGAATTTGCAAGTCTTAGAGGAGCAGAAGGCATGAATTCTTCTCTATGTTGGTTCCTTTTTTTATAATAGCAGTAGACTAGATGTCCTACAGGAAACTTTCCAACATTTCTTATGCATAACGTTACTGATTCAGCTGATATTGATCAAAGGGCGTAGCAAGGATTAGTAACAGTGATGTTAGTGGCATTGGAAGCTCTAGCCGGACAATACCTAATTCCGATGTGCCAAATCAAGGGAAACAAGCATCCATGCTTCACGGTAATTGTATTGACTATAATCAATTGTTTTCTTCAGTTACTTTGTACTTGATGGTATTTGGCCAACTTTGACTTCGTTTTGCAGGTATACCTGATTTTGCTGAAGTTTATAGCTTCATTGGGAGTGTCTTTGATCCTGACACCGGGGGGCACGTGCAGAAACTCAAAGAAATGGATCCCATAAATTTTGAAACTGTAAGTCAAGACTGCACCCTTTTTTGGTTTAAACATTTCATAATTAATTAGAATTCATTGAGTGGGCTCAGTGGTAAAAGAGAATGTTGTTCTCGTTAGAAGACCCCAGTGTTTTAAAAAGCGTGCCTGAGGCACTAGGCGAGGCGTTTAGAAGAAAGCCTCCGACCACCAAGGCGGCGGCGAGTACATGAGGCGATGCTTTTAGCGATTCACGTACAATGACCCATTTATGTTCTGAGGAGACAGTATTAGGTGGAGTTCCAGGGCAGCAGATTGTGTCGGGGGTTTGTATTGATGGGAGAGAAAGGAGTTTAAGCATGGGGTTGTCACCTCAAGAAGATGGGCGCAATGTTAAAACAAGTATGTTAGAAGTTAGTGGGCTGCCAGTTGGCAGTGATAATAGGACAAAAATAAGTGGGAAGCACGTGGGTCTGGAATCAAGAAATACAAACTTCTCGGATGATTCTGCACGTTCGGTTGACTATGGTGTTGCACATACTTCAATTAGGAAATCCAACCATACTGGGCCTGTTAAGTGGGTTGGGAATGAGAAGTCTATTGGGGGGCAGAATGGTGAGTTGCAAACTGAAACGGATGATGTTTTGATCCAGTGGCAGTCTGTAGGGCCGAGTAGGGGTGACGGGGATCATGGTGTTAATACAAGTATTTCTGGAATCCAAGAGAGGGGGAAAGGTTCAGTGGAACTCAAAAGAAGCGCCTCGCGTACGTGAATCCCTCACCTCAAAGCGTCTCAAAAATTGAGGCTCTCGGGTAGCTAATCGCCTTGGAGCGCCTCGCGCCTTTTAAAACATTGGAAGACCCGAATTCGAGCAGTTGTGTCTACAGGATATGTGTCCGCTATCAATAGGACCTCCAGATCAAATATATATAAGCACTCTTTTATTAACCCCGCAAAGCTTAAGAATATCTTCCCAGACCTTGCTTTGGGTAACTTAGGCCAACAAATAGATTTTGAGACCAGATGATTCTTGCACCACCGGGTGCTATATCGGCTATTTATTTTTCCTCTCCAAAAATATCTCATACAAAGCTGATTGATCCTCTTCAAAGCTGGTTAAAGATAACCAACTGCATTAATCGCATTCTCCCAGCAACTGAGCTACCTTGCTACTCGGCTATATATTTTTCCTTTTACTTTCTCCAAAAGAGGAGTAAAATCTGTTTAAGACTGTTTCCTTGTGACAAGTAGCACCCCAAAGTATCTCACATGAGGTTTTCCCTCAAATTATGTAATTCTCCTAATTTCATCCTTTACCTCACTTGACATACCAGAGGAAATTTCTATATAAAAAAAACATACCAGAGGAAAAAATCTCACTTTTATCAGCTTTCAGCTGCTTCATTTTTCCTGAAGTACCTGTTTCCGACACTCATGTCTGATACTTGGATATGGGGATATGATCTCAAAGGATCCTCCAAATATATAGAAAAACTTCGAAAAATCTAACCATACCCGTGTTAAATACATACCTGTGGTCGACACTTCCACTCGAGTCTGAGTAACATAGGCTGCAATCCTGATATCAGGTAAAACTGATTTAGAACACACCAAATACTAACAACAGAATCAATAGTCCCCTTGGAAAAGACCAGAAGATCATCTGCGAAACAAAGGTGAGACAGCTTAACTTTGTAACATTTAGGATGAAATTTGAAGATTCCATTGGCTGCAGCTGCTTCCAGTAGTCGAGATAAGACATACATCGCTAACACAAACTGGTAAGGGGACAAAGGGTCCCCCTGCCTAATGCCTCTGGCACCCTTGAAACCTAGGAGTAGTTTTTAATCTAATTGACAGATTTCTCAGAACTCCATGCTTCAGGTAACTTCAAAATAAATTCCCAACTAATAGAATCGAAGGCCTTTCGCAAATCTATCTTAACAGCACATCTAGGAGACAAAGAATCTCTTCCATACCCTTTCACCAATTCTTGATCCATAAAGATATTATCAGAAATACTCTATCTTTAATGAAAGCACTTTGAGTACTTGAGATATTCTAGGAAGATACTTTGTTAACCTTTTCACCATGATTTTAGTGATGCATTTGTGCACCATGATACTTTGAATACTTGAGATTATTCAGATTATTTGTTTTGGGAACCAACAACACAATAGTACTGGTTAAAGGCATGACTAATTGTTGACGTTTGAAAGTAATATTGCACAGCTTTTACATGATTCTCCCCTACAACATCCCAAGCTGCTTTGAAGAAACAAGCAATATACCCATCAGAGCTTTATCACTCCCTTGTCCCCTAAAATTTGTTTTGTTATAAACTGTTCAAGTTACCGCATGTAATACCTTTCCTTATGCCATGCAGGTTTTGTTACTGATGAGAAATCTCACTGTTAACTTGTGTAGTCCAGATTTTGAGCCAATTGTAAGTGTTAAGTTTATGTTTATACTACACAAATTATTTCCGTTTTGAACTTATTGGCATAGGAAACTATGTGCTTTCGGGTTTTGTTTTTCTTGTTTTTCTTCTTGTCGATGTAAAAGTTTCTCCTGAGCATGCTGCTGCTTCATATGAATCTGCATATGAAAGACCGTTCTTAAATGTTTTGACTTTGATCTCCTTGATTGTTGCAGAGGAAGGTCCTGTCCTCGTACGATGTCAACAAAAACATGGTGGGAGTTGCCAAGGGAATTATTCCCCCAAACCAAATGAATGATATATTGTGTTAAGCGGTTATCATGTAGGATTTTCCGGTAAGTATGTGCCTTTAATATTTTACTTCTGCGTGCTGCAACTGGAATCGAATTTCTGTGTTCTTTTGACTCCTACCTTAAATATAAAGTCCGTACTTGGAATTGGGGCAGCATGCATTCGAGGTTTTCTAGGTGAGGGAGTTGCAGCCAGCAGCCTATAGAAAATGTTGGAAATGATGAGTTGAAGAAAGCGTTTCCACCACAGGTTTTCAAGCTCATCGACTTCCAGCGAGATCAAAACGGAATGGTTATCACCGTGTTTTTACTTATCAACCGGATAAGTTGTGTACATTCTTGTCAGGTGGGTTTGCTAGCCGTTCTTTTACGTAGTTGCTCCTGGTATGGCGTTATTATAGAAGCGGAAGTAGGAGAATTTGAAGATGTGTAATAAGGATCATAATTCTGCCATTTGAATGTAGCTAGAAGGATCCCCGTGACAAACATGATAGATTTCTTATCAATTTCTGAGACAAGTGAAATCTAGGTATATGCCACATTTTCCTACTTGGAAGCTACATTGATAGAAAAAGCAAAATTTGGACCATGATGAGTAAACATCAAAACATGATCATAAACTGAATGCCCTACATGAAAAAGGCAAAGAGAAGTAAGTAATATAAAGAAATATTGTTTTCTTTAAACGTTTTAAGTTAAAAAATTTTACGTTTATAGAATATGTATATTTTCATTATCAATAAATTATTTTTTTAAAATCTATTTTCTTTAAACTTTTTAACTGAATTGCATGTCTGGGACAAGTGATTCATCTTAATTTACTATTTCTGAGAATTGAACTCTCCATTTTCATGTTGGGTTGAATTCTCATCATGCGCATACCTAGATTTCTACACACTTCGCTCCAATCTGATCGTCACTGCTTAGATAAGCGGTGACCGAAGCGTCACTAATTATATAAAAAAGACGACTAACTCACTCTTCGCTCCTAAGAAAACTAGAACCAAAAGTGAGGAACAAGTTAAAAAGAAATATATATGCTTAGATAAGCGGTGACCGAAGCGTCACTAATTATATAAAAAAGACGACTAACTCACTCTTCGCCCCTAAGAAAAGTAGAACCAAAAGTGAGGAACAAGTAAAAATATATATATATATATATATATATATATATAAGACGGGAACAAAAAAATAGCATCATGGGTGAAGAAGTGAAGGTTTTTGGAGCTTGGGGAAGTCCTTTTAGCCGCAGGGTAGAGCTTGCTTTGCGGTTGAAAGGGGTTCCATATGAATACATAGAAGAAGATATCGTTGGGAACAAGAGCGCTTTGCTTCTGCAATACAATCCGGTTCATAAGAAAATTCCAGTTCTCCTCCATAATGGGAAACCAATTGCAGAGTCGCTTGTTATACTTGAATACATCGACGAAACTTGGAAATCCAATCCCATATTTCCAGAGGATCCTTATGATAAAGCCATGGCTCGATTCTGGACTAAGTTCGTCGATGACAAGGTATTATTTCATTATTTTTAATCCAACTTTTCCCTTTCGAACTTTCACATTTCTGGACTGAATTCTTTTTGTGGCGCAAGTGTAGTGCATTCCCGCCCTTTGGAAAGCTGCATGGAGCGCTGAGAATGAGCGAGAAAAGGCGGTGGAAGAAGCTTACGAGTGTCTGAAAACGCTTGAAACTGCATTGGATGGGAAGAGATTCTTCGGCGGAGATGTTATTGGAATGGTAGACATTGCTGCTAACTTCGTCGGCTTTTGGCTGAGTATCATTCAAGAAGCGACCGGAGTGGAGCTGTTGTCGGCTGACAAATTCCCCGACTTGTTTAAATGGACAGAAGAATTCATAGGTTGCAACATCGTTAAGGAAAATTTGCCTCCCAGAGACAAACTATTGGCCCTTTTCAAAGCTCGCTTTGCTCAAGTTATGGAACCGCAAACTAATACCTCCAAATGAGCGTTTCCACGATGATTGTTGCATGTATTTCTCTTCGTTACATCAGTTGGTTTTGTTTGTAATCTTCCAAGATTACACGTTGTCAAGTCAAGAATAAATTAACAACTTCTTAAATTAAATTAATTGATAACAGGGCATTGTAGAGCCATGCCTTGCAATACAAAAGCAGATTCAGTTGATAAACTGACAAAAAATAGTCCTGAGATCCAAAATTTAAATCAGTCGTAGTTAAAGAACACATCCTATATGCTAATGATCCGGTAGCATTAATAACTCAAATTGTAAGGAAATTGTTATAGGATAATGATAAATATATTGATCGTTCAATAAAAAAGATTTCAAAATTTTATGTTAAATTTCAAACGAGAAAAATCAAAGTTAGTGAAGAAAAAAATTAATAATGCTGAAAGATAAGAATACAAGAAGATTTACGGAAACATCTTGATTTCTAGCTCTATTTAAAATAAATTTCCTAATTTTAATTAATATCTAATAGTAGAAGTATAGTTTTCTTCATATTCAAACATAATTCAAGTCACATAGAGTTCATCAAGTGTATCATCTAGGCATGGGATAAGATATATATACTGAGGTGTGTTTGGTTGGGAGAATGTGAGATTCTCATGGGAATGGAATCCACATTCCCCCGTTTGGTTGGCCAGGAATGTCATTCCCGGTAATCTTATATTACCAATAGTGAATTTTTTAAGATATATTATTGGGAATGTCATTACCTCATTTTCCTTAGGTATTGTTGGATTATCAGCGTTTGGACTAAAATGCCCTTAATTTTTTTCTCAAAAATATCATTATTTTGTCATTGAATAATAAAAATTCTACGAATGTTAAATTATAAATTTATCCTTAAACTATTTTAAATTTACAAAAAAATCTATAATTACAATTTTATATGAAGTTCAGGGGTTAAAATAAAATTTTACCCTTTCATTAAATCTTTTTATATTTTCAATTTTGTAAAAAAAATTATATAAATTTTATGAATTTAATTTTTTTAAAGAAAATATATAAATATTTTCTAACTTGTTAAAAAAAACAATTATATAATAAGGACAATTTGGTCAAATATACATTCAAATAATCTTTTATTCCTTTAACAAAACACGATAATCTTACATTCCTGTTAAACCAACCAAACACAAAATACAACATTTCCAGTAATCCTATTCCTTGGTAATCTTTTATTCCCACTGGTAATTTTACATTCCGTGAACCAAACGCACCATGATGGTAATGCGGTTAATGGGTCGGCAATTGATACACATACGACACTTACCATCTTTTCGGAGTACCAAGAGTATTAGAACAACACAATGACTCAAACTCTCTGTCCCTTAGTGGCGGCAAACCTTTAGGTGATCACCTAAAACAACATAATATTCTTGCAATAATGAAACAAACACACTAGGCAAAGTCTCATTAATCTTAGACATAGATAAATCTTGCCTAAATCAGATAAAGACACAAAATTGTTAAGGGAGAAAGAGTTTTCTTACTTCTTTTCCTCTCACAGAAACATACGAGTCACTTTTTTTTTCTCATTTTGGGATTCAATCACATCCATTGGGTCATCGGTTTTTTGGCTTGTTTTTTCTAAGGATCCCTTTATTGTCAGCTTTTTTTTAATCTTCCTTTTATGATTTGGTCCCAACCTCCTCACAAACTTTTTGCATCTTTTGTTGGTTTGTAAACATCTTTGGGGTTTAATGGGATTAATGTCTACTTCTTTCCATGCTTTACTAATGTATACCGACTCAGCTTGCCATGGTGAACAATATCATAGTCATACTGCCATGATCTTCTGAGTAACAAATTGGCAGCATGCAAAGGGACTACATCAACCAAACATCATCACTATAATTACTCATATTGGATGTGATCAAGGAGCGTTTGATTACCTTCACCTCATATCCCTCATTCAGTTATTGAAGATGGTATGACTTAGGATGTCGTTGGCTTGGTAGATTGAGTGTATCGACGAGGAAGCTGCTAACATGTACACAACTCCCACTACCAATGAAACTTGAACAAGTTTTACCTTGAACCACGCATCGAGAATGGAAGATGTTCGTTCGTTGCACATCAACATCTTCTGTTACTTAGATATTAAAGGAATGTCGTATCACCAAGCATCTATGGTCTGGCTCGTCACTCTCATAAGTTGCTGGAGTAATGTGCTCTTCTTCGAAACCATCATCTTGTTCTTTTTCAGACTTGAAAGAGAGCATACCATCATCTCGAATAAGCAAGATTCTGGTATTCGAACAATCTCGAGCATAATGTCCACGACCCCTACACTTGAAGCACTCAATATCTCGGTTTTGACTTGATTTCTGAGGAGTCTCAACAGCCATGGGTGGCTCAGGAGGTCTCGGCCGTTGCTCCGTGGTTGTTGCTGGTGCCTTCCCAAATTCATATCTTTTTCGCTTCACTTTAGCTGGATCGAAGAAAGTGTTATTAATAACCTTAAAATAATATTGTTGATAGGTACCTTTGTCATAGGACGAATACTCTCGTGGATGAAACTTGGCTTTCTTTTGAAGGCGATATTCAAGGGCGATGGCCTCATCAAGGTCCACATAGGTCTGGCGTTCAAGTACATCAGCGATGTTATCATTCAACCCATACACAAACCTGTACAATATGTCCTTCTCATTTTCATGGATGCCTAATTGTTGCAAGAGAACCTCAAAATCCTAAAAGTACTCCTTAACGGATCGATTGCCTTGTCACAACCATTGAATCCGTTTTCTGTCTCTATAATAATGTGGGGGGAACAAATTGTTTCCGCATCACATACTTCAACTCATCCGATGATTCAATCTCACGCACCTAGTTGTAAAGTTTGAAATGAACTAATTGAGTCCACCAACTCAAGGAATAGTAAAAAATTCCAATGTTACCAGGGGCACTTGCTCTTACTCGGGGCACCCGTAATACACTGTCAGCCTTACTCTCTCAATCGCAATAGGCATCTGGAGCATGTTTGCCTTGGAAATGAGAACTTTTGTCTTGCCAAAGAAGGTTGTTCACGTGCAGAAGGTCTAGCTTCATCAAATCGATGACCACCTAAGGGTCGATGTCTGGGTTGTCCATGTCTTGGTTCATCATCTTCACTACTCGTCCATGGGTTCCACTGTATGGTCTAGAATTCAATGCTGCCACAGTCCGAGTAAGACATTGTAAGGTTGCCTCCATGGAGGAAACCAATGCAGACAACTCTGAAGAGTTGAAGTCTTCTTTTCCTCAATTTTATTACGATCAGTTTGTGATATCCTAAAACTCACAACAAGATAAACAAAAGGGTTATTACCTCATTCATACATGAACTATATCCAATTCTCATGAATAGAGTAATTAACCCAAAACAAAACAAAACAAAAACCTTACCATTAATCACTCAGGAAAGAATATGCTTTAAAAGACAAGTTAGCCGGCCTTGTATGTTTTTATTGTATTACATTTTTATTAATTAAAATTATTAAATATAATTGATTGTTGGTGATGATGATTTAAGGTCCGATTATTGGCAATGGCAGGCTAAGAGCCGACTCTTTCTATCTAGTCTTATTATTTTCTCTTTTTTATTTTTCTGTCTCATCCTTTTAAGATTTATTTTTTGTATATATGAGATTTTAATTTTGATTTTACCAAAAAAAATATAATTATATATTTCATTGCTCTTATTTTTAAATCTCGATTGATTTTTTCATCTTAATAGGTGTTTAAAGTCATTCCAAATATGACGTGGTTTAAATTATAATAAAACAAATTATTAATGTATTTTTATATTTTTATTATTATATTAATATTGAGAATATTTATCTTTCATTGTTAATAATTGTATTTATTTATACCTTTATTTTTTGGATATATTTAATTAGGTTTTCTAATCCTCTTATTGTAGAGTCATATCTTACGTGATAGATGAATTAATTAGATTTATAATAATGATAATATTTTTTTCACCCGATGCACGTCTCATTAACTTTGACTCTCAAACTCTCTTCGCTGACTAAGACTTTATTTAGCGGATAAATCATTATTTTAATTTGTTAAATATATATTTTGATAAGATCGTATCTTATCTAACGAACGAATTAGATTTATAACAATACTATATTGTTGACTGGGCTGCATTTAGAGGAGAAGTGCATTATTTTCATTGGGTAAATATATATATTTTGATGTCAAATTTGAATTTGATTTTATATTAATATTTGGCCTTTAGTTTTTTACTTTTTTTTTCAATTAAGTACCTGAATTTAGTTTTAATATCCGATTTGATATCTAATTTTTTTTATTCCAATTACGTATCCAATTAAGATTGTATATTGTCATATATGAACTTTAACTTGACTTTTAGGTTTAAATTGATATCTAAATTTGGTTCCATTGTTCAAACAAATCATTTTGAATAAGTATCTATTTAAATCAAAATTTAAAGTTCGAATATCAATTTGAACCAAACAAGTTATATTCAAGTACCTAATCGACCCCAAAATGTAAATATCAAATTACATCTTAATTTACTACAGTCACAATGGACTTTCCTCTATCTCCATTCTGCATGCTCATTGCATAGACCTTGTTGACTTTTCATTATGTTAGTAACCTCGACCACTTGGCTCTCACATGATCCTCAAACTTTTGACTCAGCTGCATTGATGGGATAACTTGAATAACTTATCTTATATTACTAATTTCATTAGTCAAAATTCCTCCATCTCCATGTTCATTGCTCGGTCCTTGTTGGTTTTTAATTATGTTCAAAACATTCAAAGATTCAAACCATTTCACTCTCACATTTCGTCACTGGTTAATGACAGAGAACAAACAGTCGCTAATTAAATACTAAATAATGAACTGATTCTGGTCGTCGCTAATAAAATACAGCAGCCGCTAATTAAATAATAAATACAAGTCGTATTTCCTTATCCGTCAAGGAAACTAGCAAATCCGGCCTCTATAAGTAGCGTGAAACCAAAGTCATACTTCAAGTGTGGAAGAAATCAAAGAAAGAAAAAGAAGTAGCAGAATGGGTGAAGAAGTTAAGGTTTTTGGATTCTGGTCAAGCCCTTTTACTCATAGGGTAGTGCTGGCTTTGCGGTTGAAAGGTGTTTCATATGAATACAGAGAAGAGGATCTCTTCGGGAACAAGAGCCCTTTGCTTCTGCAATACAATCCAATTCATAAGAAAGTTCCTGTTCTCCTCCACAACGGGAAACCAATTGCAGAATCGCTTGTAATACTTGAATACATGGAGGAAACTTGGAAATCCAATCCCATTTTGCCCAAGGATTCTTATGACAAAGCCATGGCCCGATTCTGGGCCAAGTTCTTCGATGACAAGGTACAGTTTTTGTTTTGGCATAATCATAGTATAGACGGTTACTTTGACCTCTATTATCTTTTTAGAGCACTATAGCCTCCGGCTACAACGTTTTACTTTTTGGTCAAAATACCTCATATTGAAAGGAAACTGTTAATTGACTAAAAGTCGACACATATTACTGACATGATATTTTCACATGTGCTGAATATATGTTTATGTATGAGTTCCTTTTGTGATGTGCGTATAGTGTATGCCTGCAATCTGGAAAGCTTTCTGGTGCCCCGAGAATGAACGAGAAAAGGCGGTGGAAGAAGCTTGCCGGTGTTTGAAAACGCTGGAGAGTGCGCTTAATGGAAAGAGATTCTTTGGAGGGGAAGCCATTGGAGTGGTAGACATTGCTGCAAATTTCGTAGGATTTTGGCTGAGGACCATTCAGGAAGTGACGGGGTTGGAGTTGTTGTCGGCTGAAAAATTCCCTAACTTGTTCAAATGGACTGATGAATTCGTGAACCATAGTGTTGTTAAGGGAACTTTGCCTCCAAGAGACAAACAACTGGAATTTAACAAAGTGATCGTTGCGAAATATGAACAAGGTGAAATTAAGGCATGATGATGGCCACATGCATTTACCTCGTTTACATTATTTAGTTTGGTGTAATCTTCATGTGTGTTGCTTGCTCTTGTTTTCGAGTGAAATAAATTTCCTAATTGTTGCCTTAAATAAATTTTTTGTGTAATCCTTTTATCCTTGTAAACCCTTCGACAGTGCTAAAAAACAAAACAGATTGAGTTGATAAACTGAAAAAACTAGTCTTAGATCCAAAACCTGACATTGTAGTAAGTAAATTAATAAAAAAAATCGTAATAAAGAAAGGCAAATAGATATTGAGTTGATAAACCGATGGATTGATTGAACACCCTTACATTTTTAGATATGTTGAGAGTCAGAGAGAAAACGAAGTAGCGAAAATCCACCCGACAAAATAATTGACCGACCAATTGCTTCCACCCTCAGTCTGTGTGTTTGAGGACGAATCCAGACACGTCAACCCCCTTTCTCCAACGACTAATGCAAGCGTTGGCAATGAATCCTCCCTCCTATTTCTGTTCCAACACAAACCAATCCCTCTCCTCTCGTTGCATCCAGCCTCAAATCAAGTAACAAATCCTCCTCTCCTCCACTAAAATCCAAACAAATCCACTGTTTCTCACTTACATTTTCTTTATTTTTCTCCCTCTGCACTTCTAAAAACTCTCCCTAATTTGTTTATCCCTCTAGTTTTCAGGCAATTGCAGAGGAGACAAAGTCTTATCAGAGATGATGGAAAACTCCATCACTGTAAAATGCTGCAACAGTCGACCCTGATTTGTCTTACTATCCATCTTGACGTCTTCATTTTCTTAACAGCTCAATAATGACCACTCTTTCACGAGGTATCACAAGAGCGTCGTACCAAGTAAAGAACAGGCAATGAGTGTTTAATCTCCTTCCCATAATTTTTACAACAACAAAAATTTCCTACCTGAGTTATCATTTGTCCAAACAGTAACAACCTTAGCTAGTTGTCCTCGTCAATGAATAGGGACGTCATTGCCTTCCATTCTTCATCTTCTTCTTTTTCTTCTTCTCTCTGTCTTGGAAAAATGGATGTTAGGATTTTTAACCCCTAATTGGTTCTTATAATATACAAGTGTGAAATAATATTATATAATATAAATATTAATTAGCTTTTATTCTAATGAGCTTTTATTCTTACGTCACTTACAGTTGGTGACTTATGTGGATTAATGATTAATGTAAGTTAATGGTTGAAGAACTTAAAATGAACAAATTGATAATGTAAGGGATCAAACTTAATTTTTGAATCAGTGATCGAATTCGATCAAATTGAAAATAAAATGAACTATTCATATAATTTACCCAAATATTAAATATTAACCATCATTTCATGCACATCAATAATAATGTAGTCTATTATAAAGTACATGTAAGTAGGGGTGTAATGTAAATGAACAGGACATTCAGTGAATTGTTCGTGAATCATGTTTGTTTTTTAAGATAAATAAATGAGCATGAATAAAGTGAACATAAACGAACACGAACGAAGGTGTTTCTGGTTCATTTATGTTCACGAACAAGCTCGTTTATAAGTTCATGAGCAAACTCATTTAATTTTTTTATATTTTAAATATTAGTGAAGGTACATACTAAATTGAATACATGGTAAAATTTGGAGTTTAACCTATAAATCTTAAGAAGTTTAAGCATCAATTGTGCCATTTTCCCTAATTGTAACACAAAAACCTTTTCCTTATCCTATCTTTTCCCTTTCCCCGATCTTCCTTTTCCCTTTTCTTCATGAGATTTATCAAACCTTAAACTATCAACTGTGTTAAAATTTATCAAATCCTAACCTTCTGTTAATCACTTTACAAGAGCTTCATTGTTGGGTTTGTAAGATTTCTCTCTATTTCACTTATGCTTCTCCTTGTTTGGGGTTGATAACAATCAGATAAGATTATTTTGTCTCCTTTTTCTCTTTTTCTTTTAGTAAGATCTTCGTTACTAGAATTCCAGTTGACTTCATCGATACTCTCTTCGACTTCTGCAACTTCCTATCATTCACTTTCTTCATAGAAAATTGAAAAAATATTTTTAATCCATCCGTTTCACTTTCCTTTTAGAAAATTTGCAGATTCCATTTTATAATGTAAATTCTTTACTCCGCTTGTGTTTCATTGTTAAATCCATAAATATTGTTTTAATTGTGCATTTGTGCTTCTTATCCCCAACTGTTTTTGCTTCTATTGTAATTCCAACTATTTATATATTTTGTCTCTTCAGTAAAAATGTATGTGTGGTGTTAACCTAAAATTGTTCTTGTTCGTATATACTAATTTTATCTTGCAATTGAATTTTTGCACCAGGTGGTGACTCTGTTTAATTTGTTTTTTCTGTTTGTTTGGTAACATTTTTTGAATATATATAAACGAATATGTTTGTGAATGCTAAACAAACATGTTCATGAACGTTATACAAGCACTAAACGAACATGTTTACGAACGCTAAACGAATATGTTTGCGAACACTAAACGAATATATTCGAGAATGTTAAACGAACATGTTCGCAAATGTTAAATGAACAAACACAAATACCTTCAAAAATAAATAAAAGAACATGAACATGATATTAAAAATTAAACGAACACGAACCGAACATGAACACTTTTAAAAATAAATAAACGAACACGAATATATGTTTATTCGTTCAAACTCGGTTTATTTACACTCCTACATGTGAGGGACAGAGTTAAGCCTGATCCCAAATTTTTAGTTAACTAAATTTTATATTAAAATGATTTAAATATTAATTAAATTAAACTTTAAGTTTTAAATTTTTTAACACTCGTGAGCCAAGGTAATTTAGCCTCCAATGTTAATCCTAGTTCACTTTAGTAACATAGGAGCACTCATTGACGAATCCACCGAGGCGTAAGGATAGATAAGTACATACATTAGAATTTTAATTTTTTCGATAATTGCCTATTTTATTAATTATATTTATTTTAAAATTTTATTTGTGTTTATTTTATAAAAAAATATATATTATTAAAATATAGATATATACTATAAAATATATTTTTGGATGTATCATTACATGCAGAGTTGAATTGATTTGATTAAGATTTGCAACAAGGCATGTGAGGTTGCTGCTTTCCACGTTCGGACGTTACTTGTACCTGTTTTATAAACAATGGGCAGTGGAACTCCGATTCAAAACAGACTTTCGTTATCTGTATCCCTCGCAAGCATGCATTTGATGTATATGAAAAAGGGAAAGCTTAACTAGTGATAAGATCAAGTCACTATCCTTTCCTTCAACCGTTTCATTAAAATTATTCTTTATTATTTTTTAGTTTAATAAGACTTAATATAAAATATTCTTAAACTATACTTTTTTTCTTATACAAGTGTTTATTTTTTTTTTGTTAATTCAGATGTTTAATGTTACAAACGATACAATTTTAAGTATTTAACTGAAACGATCGTTAAAAAATTATGTTAAGTGACAGATGTCACATTCTAATAATTTTAAAAATATTATTTAAAAAACTTAAAAAGATAATTTAAAAAAACCCTAAAATTTTCTCAAATCTTAAGAAAAAACCTCAAAACCTTAAAAATCATAATTTCAATCCCTATACCCACATCAATCGCCGACCTTTGTTGTCATTGTTGTTGTCAACAGAACACACCCCCACCGCACCTCCACCCGATGAATAGCCACCGACAAATCCTAATAGCAATTTAAACCCAATGAACGATATGAAAAAATCGAAACATTTACGTGACCCCACGAGACCTGACGACACGAGACGAAAAGGGTGACGAAGTTCGAAAAGGGAGATGACAATGGTGGCGTCGACAGCGATAGTCGTGGCTGATAAGGAAGATGGTAAGGTTATTAGGGATTTTAGGGTTGAATTGAGAGATTTCTAGGGATTTTGGTTTTTTTGTAATTTTAGAAAACTTTGGTATTTTTAAATATAATAATATTTTTAAACAAATTAAATAAAAAAATTAAATTACCATAACGTGATATGTGTCATTTAATGGAATTTTTAACTTCGTTACGGCTGATGCACTTAAAATGATAATGTTTATAATGTTAGACATTTGGATTGACCAAAAAAAAGTTTAGATGCCTAAATAGAAAAAATGTATAATTTAGGCATTTTTTATATTAAGCCTTTTAATAATAACTATTTTAAATATTTTAATTAATTAATTTTTATAATATATATATATAAATTTTGACATATAAGGCGAAAACATAAATTCTGAAAATTGTATGTTTTTAGACTTTTTTATATATCAGAGGGTGTTTTTTTATTGCATTCCAATAGTTTTCTTTAATTTTATAATTTTTTAAAAAGTAAAATAAAAATCCAAAATTCATTTTTAAAAATTACATTTTTATAATTTCCTTATTTTTATTCTTTGCATTTTAAACTATTTTGAAGATTTTATTTTTTAAATAAATTAAATATAATTACAATTCTAAAATAAATAAGATCAAAAGGTAAATTCTAAAATTAGAGTTTTTTAATTAATATCATTTGAATAACGACAAGACAAAACGATATTACATAAAAACAAGAAAAATGTATTGAAATAAATGAAAATTGAATTAAAATACATAAAAATAATAAGATGTTAGAGAAAATGCCATTTTTATCAATAATAGACTATCCTTAAGAAGAAGAAAATCATTTTACTGCTTGAATCACTCAATAAATATTAAAAAAATAGAAACAAAACCCATTTGTTTAATTGATTTTTCAGGGGGGGGGGGAACTCAAACAAAATCTTTCTGGGAATATGGGAAAAGATTGCTGAGATTGTAGCTTAGAATTACTTCCCAAGCAAGAATATTAGGCGGTTATATTCCATTCTTTCTTTTGTTTAATACCATATGAACTTCAGAAGGATAAAAAGGTAAAAGAAAATGTAAGCAGGATGTATTCACACCTTTAACTTTATATTTCATTATTTTTATATTTGTAATTAATTATTTATCTTTTATGAGTGAATGTTTTATTTATTAACGCCATCATTTGTGTTATGCAAAAAAAATTAAATTAATTTTTGTTTTAAAATTTTATAACAATATATTGATATTTAACTTATTAATAGTATATAAAGTTATATCATATCAATATATTAGATATTTATTGTATTTTTACATGTTGACTTACAGGGCAACCTTCATTTTGCACCCTTCAAAGGGAACTTAGAAAAAATGATTAGTTTATATATCAAAATATACTTAAACTTTTTATTATTTTTTTTGTCAAAAATTTACTTGTAAAGATTTTTTATTCCATTGACAATGTATAGAATAACTTTGATAGTTTTCTTATTAGTCCAATAATTATGTATACTTGAAAACAAATATCAAACATAAATATATTTGGAAATTAAAAAATATTTTTAATGTAGAAAGGTAACCTACCTTTTTACATGTCCAGAAAGAAAAGAAAAGAATAGTGTGGAAACCGGAAGAGGGAATCATGAAAGCAAGCTTAAGCTTAAGGATCACTCAAAAAAATATTCATAAATAATTAGATGAAACATTAATCTAATTATTATTCTTCAAGGCGGAGCAAGGCCGCCCTCCGATTGAGAGCCCGAAATATCTCACCGGCCACCATCCACCTCCTTCTGATTGAGCACCCAAAATACCTCACGACCACCACCTTACCTGGACTCTACTCAAGGTGTGATACTATCGTAATATTGTAACTAATAGAGGATCAAAAAATATTTTTAATTATATTAACAATATTTTTTGTACGGATAAACATAAATAAAACTTCAAAGTAACATAATTAATAAAATAAAAAATTAATAAAAATAAATTTTAGGACGAACAAATATAGAATGGGTCTTCGTTGATTGTAACTTAATATATTTGACGATTTAATAAATTATTTTATGTTCAGCTTTAAATTAAGCTTCCGTCAACATGAAATTAGGGAGGTAGATGATTCGGTTTCGTTTAATTTTTTAATAGTCTGTTGGTTTACGGTTATGTTAAATTTAATTTTTGATTTTTTATATTAATTTTGACATTTTATATTTTATTTTTATAATTTTTAAATATTATTTGATAAAGTTTTTAAGCCTTTTCCATAAATACTTTTTAAAATAAACAATAATCATATGTAATATTCTTAAGTTATTTTATTATTATTAAATATAAAATATCTACTTTTATATTATAAATAAATAATAATTTGATTTAGTTTAGTTTAATTAAATAATCGTTTTTTAAAAATTTATTAAATCATAAATTATCTAAATATTACTATTTAAATCAAAGTTAAATTAATTGTTCAACCCTTCATGCGATCAGTTAAATGTGTGGAATAAGTTGAGACTGTTGAAAATGATTGAAAAGGACTGTGAATCATAGCATCAGTTCATAGGGAAATGGAAAACTCCCTTTCCATCACAGCTTAGATATTACGAGTGAGCAATGAAATCGAGAAAATCGAAAAATCGATACGAATCGAGTAAAACGGTTTGGTTCGGTTTGGTTTGGTTTTAAACGGTTTGGTTTTCAGTTCGGTTTAAAGGCTTCATTTTTTTGATTCGGTTCGGTTCGGGTTTTTCATATGGAACCCATTTGTTCCATATTGAACCGAATAGACAATTTTTGTAAAAAAAAATTATAGTTTCAAGTGATTTTTTCATTGAAAAACCGAAAAACCGAATCGAACCGAACTGAAAAACCCGAACCGTTAAAAAACCCGATCCGAACCGAAAAAACCGGTTTCGGTTTTTTCAATTTTTTAACTATTCGGTTTCGGTTTAAATATTGAAAAACTGTTTATTTCGGTTCGATTCAGTTTTTGGTAAAAAACCGAACCGAACCGAATACACCCCTATTAGATATCAGTGGAAAACATTTTTTAAAAGTTTAGTAATATATTTTTCTCTACATTTTAATTTGATTTTCATACTATTTTTTATCAGTTGAACCATATATAATTTATGTATAACATTTTCTCTCTTTAATCATTACCATTTAAAGAAATTATGGGACCAATCAGAATCTGATACATATAATGTTGATGATGACTAAATACATATTAAAAATAATATAAATTAACCTATTTTTTAAGGATAAATATTTTTATATAAATTAAATATTAGATCGATTTTTTTAAATAGTATGATTTTATCTCTCTTCAAATTATAAATATAATGAATGATATCTATATTCTGTAAATATTACACTTTAATACTTATGATATATGTAATATAATTAATCATTTAATTTTATGTCATATTTTATATATACCCATAATTATTAATTTTAATCTAACACGTATATGATACAACTCTACGACTATGTTATATGAATGTTATTAGAAATTACTAATTATATTTACCATATAATTTTATCATGAAATAATAAAATATAAAAGAAAAAATATCCTCTTAGTAACATCAACTCTCTTTTAAGACATATAAATTGTTCTAAATCTAAATTAAATAATCACATAAATTTTTACTTGAAAAATAAAGAAAGAAATATAACTATTGTGATACCTTAAATTTGATCTAATTATTATGACTAAATTTGATATAAAAAAATTTAAAACAAAATTACTTTTTTAAAACAAAATCATAAAATCTAAAGTAGTATTCAAAGTTGGATAAAATAATTGCAAAATCACATAGCAGAAATATATTACATTTCTTTAAAACATATATAAAATAAACACGAAAGTCTCCGTTTAATGTTGAGTTTAAAACTAATATGGGATAATTACATCAATTTGAAGAAAAAAGAAAGAAAAGAGAAATGAATTATAAAATTCATCACAATCTCTAAATGTATACAAATAATTACAGAGTATGTCAACATAAGAAACAATCACATGGAAAGCCCATAAGCTCTATCTACCCATCCATCTGCTAATCTCCAAAAACATAATTTAGGCCCCATTTAATGTTCAGATTTCCAGGAATTTAGGTCAAAATAGTAGGTAATGCTTCATTACTTGGAATAATATTTTCTTTGATCCAAACGTTTCAAAAAATAATTTTATATTATGTGAACTAAACGTTCTCCTATAGTATTGGATTCAGGCAACTACTTCTGCAAAATAGAATACGTGTATATTATTAATAGTTAAGAAAAATTCTAAACATATATAATAATCTTATAATGTTTTAATATTACTTGTATTGTAAGGAGGTAAATACCAATTATTATAGAGGGTAAAGAAGTCTTGGAACAAAGCTTACATGATGATTCTAATCAAGAAAATTCTGGCCGGAGAAGGTTCGTTGTGGATAGCTTGGTTAAGGAATTATATGTTCAATACTAATAATTTCTGGACTGTGGAGGTTAAATCTAACATGAGCTGGAGTTTAAAGCAAATCCTCAAATTAAGGAATGAAGCATCCAGCATTTTGTCTACTGATGTTTCAAATGTTGGCAAAATCTGGAATGAGATTAGAGTTAAAAATCCCAAAGTGCAAGATCACTTATCCTTCGAATGCCCGATTGCCTCGTCCCTATGGTCTACCCTTTTTGCTCTCAATGGCTTACTGTTTAATCATCATTCTTGGGATGCTCTCTTCGGTTGGGCTACTATGTTATGGAAGGAAAAATATATTTTGTCTACCATCATGAAAGTTTCTTCTAATGCACTCATTTACACCATATGGAAGGAAAGAAACAAGAGACTTTTCCAAAGTCACTCATCTACTGTTGAAGAAATGTTTAAAGCTATCAAGGAAATTGTAGGGCTTCAACTAAGGGAAAAAATTATAAGTAGAATTGACAATGTTAATATTTTTCTTTATAACCAATGGGTATTGTCTGATGGGTTGTTTGCCGTTTTTTTTGGATGATCTTTGTATTTTTTACTCTATTATTTTGATGCAGTTTACTATTTTTGGATAATAAAATTTTAATTATCAAAAAAAAAAAGTAAATAAGAGTTGGATGAACTAAATCGAATAGTTAATACCTTGTATGCAAAGGATTGACTGCCCCTACATCGTCAGGTGGACAACATAGCCATGACAAATGTCTGCTACTATGCTGCCGAAACCTTAGCCCCCACGTCGCCATTAAGATAATATCGTGAATTTTGGGATATTTTTTCTCTTTATTTTTGTATAATTATAACTAATCAATCACTTTAAATAAAATATTATAAACTTATTTTTTAAAAAATAAATTTACTTTTTCTAATTTTAAAATTTAAAATCTATATATTACATAAGATAGCTTATCTTATTGAATCGATTAATAATTATTTTTATTATTTAATTTTAAAAACATAAAAAATATAAATTATAAACTTTCAATCTTATCTATTGTGATCTTAATCTTCATAATTAAAAACTTTAATCTTGAAACCTTAGTTTATATTAAAAAAATTCCCTTTACTTTAATATTCCGTATAAATAAATTACTTAAATCTGAAACTTAGGAAAGAAAATGGCGGCCACGGGCCATCTCACATAATGCGTATGAGTCGGCCCTTACGCGGCTGCAACACTTCTATGGACCCTACACTTGCTCATTTGTTGACAGTTACTACTCTCTTTAGCAATCACTGAAGTATTTTGGTTTCATCTTTGAATTTTTCCCGTTGCCAGCAACTGCTTATATTAAATATCAGTTCTTCACCAAGCGCCGAGCTCTCATCACATGCTCTCCACCCTGTCCCTTCTGAACTTTGTATCTGCTCTTTTTCTTTGTTATGACCGAGGTTTTAGACGACGGAGAGTTCTGGCTTCTGCCCCAGTTTTTAACCGACGATGACGGAGTTAAGGCTACGACCAATACCAAGAATCTTAAAGACAGTGAGGGTTTGTTTCCCTACGAGTTCTCTTGCGGGTTTGGGTCTTTCGGGTTTTCTTCGGATCTAAGTTCCCCCGTTGAGTCTGTTCTTGGTTCTACCGAAACAGAGAGTGATGGGGAAGATTACCTTGCTGGGTTAACTCGTCAAATGGCTTACTCCACTCTCAAAGACGATTCCTTCCGAATGGACCCCGCGTTTGCCTATGAAAATCCCAAGGTCTGCTGAATTACTAAACATGAACCATTTTTGAGTGAGTTTATTAAATTAAGGAGTGTTCCTTATTCTGATTTCATTTTTTTTTTTGCATTTTTGTAGGGATGGGTTTTGTCCAGTTCACCGCAATCGACCATGTGTTCGTTACCGAGCGGTTGTGGTTGTAAGCAAGGGTCTAGCCGTGGGAGCCCTAATTGTCAATCTCGGGTTTCATCGCCGCCGGCAACATGGGACCTGCTGTATGCGGCGGCCGGGAAAGTAAAAAGATTACGAATGAACGAAGAAACATATGTAGGATTCAGCAACAGAGGCCTTTTGGGTCCATCAGCTACAAAACCTTCTACGAACCTCGATGCTTCTGGCTTTTACCCTCGACAATCACTTCCTCACAGTAAGCTGCGCACCACTCTTGTAAGATCCTCAAAACAAAGTATTCAGATTGTTTATATTCTGCATGGTGTACTAATTTCTTCGTCTTTTTATTTTTTGGTTGCAGTTTCAGCAACTGAAACAAGATCAGCTAAAGAAACAACGAAACGCGTTGGTTTGGGGAGGATTGACGCAGCAGCAGCAGAAGCATGTGGTCCAAAACAGAGGAAGGTATGATAATAGGACATTGGGTTTGTCCCCATCTGCATGGGCCCCTCTGCAGCAGCAACAACCCCAGCCACCAAACGGGTCGGGTATGCGTGCTGTTTTCTTGGGCAATCAAAATGGTAAAAGAGAACGTGTTGGAACTGGTGTTTTCCTTCCTCGGCGTGTTGGAAACTCTTCTGAACTCTATAAGAATCCATGTTTGTAACCATCAACTTAAAGTTTTAATAGTATTTTCTTGAATGTTCATTGATTTGGATTTTTATGCTATAATGGCAGCTTGCTCTACTGTTCTGGTTCCAGTTAGAGTGGCTCAGGCTTTGAACTTGAATCGCGATGAGGTTGGAGCTCAACTCCAGCTTCACCATCCTGGGTTTAACTCAAGTTTCACTTCTGGTAGTAAATACTTAATATCCCTCTTAAATTTCGTTCATTATTTTTTTAAAAAAAGTTTTTAAACTTTTGAAATGTATTTGTAGATGCTGCTGCATCGAGGCCTCTAAGGGGTTGGAATTTCGTTAGAAATCAAAGGCAGCAGCAAGATATTAGCCATGAAGTCCGGTTACCGCAGGAGTGGACTTATTGATTACTCATCTTGCATGCAGTGGTTTTACCAACTGATCTGTTGGTTTTTCTTTTAAAGTCTTTTTGGGTAGAAATTTGAAGGATAGGATAGAAAAGAGAAGAAAAATTGATAGTTTCCTACAAGGGAAAATAGTAGAATAGTGGTATATAGGCTTTAAGAAGGGAAAATGTTGGTTTATTAAGAATATGAAAACGAAATGTTGGGTTCTTGGGTTAAGGTTTAGGTTGAACAATAAAGAATTTTCTCTAGTTTCAGTGATGGGTACAGCACAACCAACGGCTAGTAGGGGAAGAACATTAAGGTATGGGTTTACCTTTTTACTGTAATTGTGGTCAATAAGTTTTGTATCTTGCTGGAAATGAAAGGCTCATCGTTGTGGTAACTCTGCATCATAGCACATGGGTGTTAATTCGTTTTGCTGTAGAATTTTCCACTTTCCAACCTGTCCACGGTCGTACTCGTCTCTACTTTAGATATCACTAATTTTATTTTATTCATAATATTTAATTATTATAATATTATTTTTATAAATATAAAAATCCAAAAAAATTACAAAAAAAATTAATATTATTATTTAATTTTAATATATTTTTTATTTATCTTATAATTTAATTAAAAAAAATTTTAAATCAAACGCGAGTTACAATACCGCGTTGGAAGTGGCGCAGTACTATAACAATATTCTATAGTGGAGATGGATTTGGCGTACGGCTAAAACGTGTTACAGTGGAAATATCTATACTGTAGCACAGCGTTAGAGATGCCTTAAGAACATTGTGTTTGGAGGTTGGAATTTTATCTATTAATATTTAATGTTAATTATATATATATATATATATATATTTTTGGATAATTAATTAATGTTAATTATAACCAGAAGGATTTTTGCTTTCTCCAAGGTCCGGCAGTTGAAGTTTTTTCTCCTTTTCTGGAAAAAAACCCTACTCTGGTTCACATCTTAAACAAAAGTTATTTAATGAAACCGAAAAGTAAATGAAAGTGATCCAAGTCACCGAAGCGTATGGGTACTTTTATAAGTGTCAAACAAGAGGGGGTTACTTTCTCTGTGTGTGATCTTTCTCTTTGCGTTCTGTTTTATTGAAGGCAGAGTTATTTCCTTTATGCACCAGCTTGGTGCTGGCCGCTACTTTTTGCATTCTCCCAAAGTCCGTCGTATGTTACGCGTGTTTCCTGTATTTTTATTGGTCGGTTGATGTAATGCCTGCTACCTTAGCCTCTCCCTCTGCTTTACAATGCCACTGTTTATGACATCTTGGTGGGATTTTTTATGCTTTCACATCAAAAAAACTCAGTCTATGCTTGGGTTCAATAGCCATAGCTATCATCCAGACATAAATAGCAGTGTCAAACATTAATTGGGAAAGCATTTCAAGGACTCCTCAGTCGGTAGTACACACACACTTCCCATCCGGATATATATCTACCTTATAAAAAGCTACTATGCATTATGTATTACCCTCTGACTGAGAGCTGAATGGGGTGATGGAACATAAAGCAGCCGCACATGTATAGGTTATTAATGTGCCCACGCTACACTATGACTACTTCCGAATAACTATTATCTGCTTTACTCACACCAATGGCTGCTACCATGGCAATTCTACTCTGTGAATACTAATTTCATTTTGATTTACAACTCTACCCTCTAAATTCATCGGTGTAAATGGGTTATTTTAAATAAATTTCACTTTACACTAGAATTAGTATTTTACAATTAAGCTAATCACCTCATTGATGATCAGATTTGGTTATTACCGTAACAATACAAGTTTAAAGTTTATGCTTAATTTATTTTTTAAATAAGTTTCAAATCTAATCTCAATATTATTTAGAGAGGAGATTAAAAGAAACTCTAAGAAAATGAACGAGAACAATCCTAATAAATCTAAAATCTATGACATAAAAATATATATAAAAAATAAATACAAGTAGCTTGATCACTATAATTTTTGTTTCAGTTGATATAATAATTTAATACTCATGCGTAGTTTGGCTGAAATCATGTGTGTGGTAAGAGGGCTGGGCCAAGACATTTGTTTTTTTTTAAAGGATGTTTTGTATAAGAGAAAATAATTTCAGTGATAAAAAAAATGTCTTATAATATACGATTTTAACCAATTTTTTTTTGATTTACCAAAATGACCAACTAAATCGCAATGCGATCGATAATTCGCAACGCGATCTCCGGTATCGCAAATCAGTTTCCAGATTCACAACGCGATTCTGACTATCGCCTTACGATTTTCCAAATTCGCGTTGCGATTTTCCGACTATCGCAATGCGAATATGTAAATCGCAATGCGATTATGACTATCGCAATGCGATTTTGACTGTCGCAACACTGAATTTCAAATTCGCAACAGGTTTTAGTTTCGCAACACAAATATTTTGGGTATATAACTACGCAGCAGAAGCAACTCATAACCTAAATTCCTAAATCGCAACTCATTCCATCTCCATCTATTACTCTCACCGGCGACATCCGTTCTTATATCCAACGATATCCTTCCCCATCCGGCTACAGGTTTTAGTTTCGCAGCTCGTTTGTTTAGTAAATTAATTTATAATAATGAAATCATCTAATGTTGATCATGTTTGGATAGATTTGTGTTTTGGAGGGTCATGGGAGAATGCTCATGGTGTTTTACAATATATGCCTTTACCCATGAATCTTCAACTAAAATTGTCATTAAAAAAGTTAACTTATGAAACTCTAATGTTACGTGTTGCAAATAAATTGAATTTAGAGCCCTTAAGTGGATTTAGGCTATCTTATCAGAGAAAATGTAAAGTTTATTTGTTAACCGACAATGAAGATGTTGAACGATTCATTGCTTACGTTATTGTTTCGCAAGATGATGTTACATTGTATGTTGTTGAACCTAGAAGTAGTTAAGTTGGGTCAGTAGCGGGTAGTAATCAACTAAGTTTTTCAACCCTAGTTTATGGTGCTCAAAATTTGCAAATTTAATGGTTCCACCACAATTTCATCACCAAGCAAATTTTGTTTCACCACATTTCCAATACCAAACACAATCTCAAAACCCACAACCTTTCCCTAATCCAAATCCCAATCAACTTTCAGCACCAAATTTCGGTTTTCGTATTATCCAGTTAGACGATGATGAGTCAACAGAAAAATTTGTGAGTACTAGTCGGTATTCGAAATTTGATCTTGGTCAATACCCGGACTTTGATCTTGGTCAATACTCAGATTTTGATGATGTTTCAGCAGAAGAAACAGACCCTGCGTTTAATGATTTTGATATTGATCAATACCTGAATTTTGATCATGAAACAGCCGCTACCGAGGAAGATGTTGTTGATGATAATGAGGAGGAAGTTACGACTGTGAATGAATATGTTGAACATCCATTCTGTAATTCATATAACCCTGAAGAAGAAAAAGAAGAATAAGAAATCCCCAGAGAAAAGTCCCCGAAGAAAATACCACAGGAGTATAACTGGAATATGCCAGAATTACTTCAGATACCGGAAGAAGAGTTGGTAAAAATAGCAGTTGATTGTTACACAAAAAGTATTCGTATCAAGAAAGATGATTGTTTTGATACAAAGGAAGACTTGAAGATAGCTTTGTATACGAAATGTGTGGAAGATGGCTATCAACTAAAAGTTAACAAATCAAGCAAAGATCGTTTCGAAACAAGGTGTATGATTGACAAAAATTGTACGTGGCGTATGATTGCAAAGAGGATAAAAGATTGCGAAATGTTTCAAGTTAGGACTTTTATTGATAAACATGCATGTTCAAGAACCCAAGTTTTTCCTCATTATAGACATGCAAACAAAAAGGTGTTGGGTGGTTTTCTGGCTGAGTTAATGTTTTTGAATGGCAGGGTATATCGAGGACATGAAATTATGACTGACATGAATGCTCGGTTCAAGATTAGTATCTCATATTCTCAAGCTTGGAGAGTCAAATGTTATGCCTTGGAATTGTTGAGGGGGTCGCCAGAAGCATCGTTTGCCCAACTGCCGGCTTATTGTCACAATTTAAAGCTGAAAAATCCTGGGTCGGTAACTCATATCAAAACAGATAGAGATGGACGCTTTGAGTTGCTGTTTATCGCCATTGGTGCTGCGGTTAGTAAATCAATATAATTTTGTTGACTCATTTTTGTTAGTTATATGCATTTCACATTTAAATGATTATATTTCTTGTGTATATGATTTTGTAGATTCGTTCGTTTATTACTTGCATGCGCCCAGTTATTATAGTTGACGGAGCACATTTAAAAGGTCGATACCTTGGAGTAAACTTATTAGCAGTAGCCATGTATGCTAATAATGGGATACTGCCAATAGCTTACGGGGTTGACAAATCTGAAACCTCTGATTCATGGACATGGTTTATGGGGCATCTTAGGGATTGTATAGGTCCTATTAGCAATCTGACAATCATATCCGATAGGGCAAACTCAATTGACAACGCAGTTAGAAGGTGTTTCCCATATACTTTTCATGGACTTTGTGGTGTTCATTTATATAGAAATCTAAAATCAAGGTCTGCTGGTATAAAAAAATCACAAATGGACATACTGGAAGGCTGTAAAAGCTTATTGGGAAGTGGATTTTAATAAGCATATAAATTGTTTAAAATGTGTTTTGCCTCAGTGTGCTCAAACACTAGAAGATGTCAGGTTTGAAAGATGGTCAAGAGTACATCAACTTGGAGCAAGATATGGTTTCATGACGTCTAATAGTGCAGAATCAATCAACGCTCTAAATCGTAATTCCCGGAAATTACCCATTACTATGTTAATGGAGTTTTTTCGAGCCTCTATTCAACAGTGGTACTACACGAAAATAAACCATGCAGGTATTATTTCTTTAAATTCGTAACTTATCATATATTTTACTAAGTATTATTTATTTAAATTTATAGGAATATTGGAACATCGTGTTACACCATGGACTGAAAAAAAAGATAACGAAACGTGTTGTGAAGTCAACGTCATGGAGAGTTGAACCATGTTCAAACACTTTGTTTGAAGTACTGGATAATAACTTAAATGGGCTTGTTGATCTAAATGCAAAGATGTGTAGTTGTATGAAATGACAAACATCTGGCTATCCGTGTGGGCATGTTATAAAAGTTACTCTTTATATAAACCAAGATGATTCAAGCGTATACGCTATGGATTGCTACACTACAGAAGTATATTAACTGACTTATGCCGAGAT